GTCGAAGTCAAGCCAAATGACGTCCCGTGGCCACTCTTGGACGTACTGGCGTTTTGTTGCCGTTGGTTCTCGGATTTGTCAGACTTCGGCTCTGGTAGATGCAAGATGCCCAACTTGTTCCCGAAACCAGCTATGAGATTCCTGCGGCCGAGCCTCCCGAACTCTCGGACCTCGACGTATCCTAAACCCTGGAAAGTCGGGACGGAGAACGATCCCACCCGTTCGGGGAAAGATGCACGTCCGTTAAGACTATGAATCCGCTCGGTTCGTCTATCCCGCATCGATATTGTCGTTGTCGTCGTCGTCGTAGTATAATGGTTTCCTACGCTCTGACCTTCGCGATGATTTTTGGGTGCAAGACTCATAGTCGATCTAGCTATCAGGTCACGCAATTCGGTCGTCTGGACGACGAGGGTAGATCCGTTGAACGGAGCTGCCAGGTCGACGGCGAAGATCGACCATTGAGAGTCGTCGATACCATCGTTGATTCGTCGAATTCCAGTCAGAACACCACATTGAATGGCCCAAGCTCCGTCAGAAGTCGAGATTGCTCCCAGAGGCGAGACTTCCATTTCGCCGGCAGGGGATGCGGTGGATCCGGAGACTGACGATCGATCCAATGGGAGGGGAGAGGTCGCCTTGAATGCGCTATTGACTGAATGATCATCATCAGGTCGAGTATGGAGGTTCGAGAGCCTCCTTGACCCGCCATGAGACGATAGCGGGAATTCACCATTTGACACGGGAGGAAGGAGGGAAGGGGATTTTCGAGGCGAACTTCCTGGGGAATAGCGTTTCCTCACACTCGAGGGCGGGACCACGAGGCCGGCGTTCAGAGCAGATCCTCGCGAAGAGGACGAGCGTGCAGAAGGTGACGAAACTGAGATGGTTTCATCCAGTGACGAGCTCCTACGCAGGGTGTGATTGCACCGGCAGAAGACGCTGGTCGGTGAGCGAGGAGCTATCCGGTCGATATATATATGCGAGTATGTTGACGAGATGACCAGGTATCCATCGGTGGAGATGGTTCCACATCCTAAGCATTTCATATTGGCCGGACGATACAATTCCACCCGTTTCGTAGTTTGCGGGGGGATGCTAGGCGCTATGGTAGCGAGGGGTCCAATCGTCTCATCGACAATCTCGATGGTGCCTGAACGATGACCTAGCGCGTGGAGACCGTACAACGAAGGGACGGGAGGCGAAATTGCCGTGATCCGATCCTCAGGATATGGCGAGGACAGGGTCGTGGGGAGCCAGCCAGACGAAGTGTTGCGATATATGTTGACGGTATCTGACGTTACGACAAGGATTTGTAGCAGCTTTTGTATTCGTACGAAAGATGTGCGAACACTTGAGCGGTGATCCGGGCCCACAGGTAGTATCACCATCTCGCCAGTGCTTTGGTCCAGCACGCAACCATCGCTGAATGCAATTAGTACCGACGGCGATGAGATCTTGTCTTGCTGGGAGGCGGACTTTGTCGGTGTAGTCAGGAAAGGGTCCCCAACTGAGCTAAAGACGTCCAACTCATTGAAAGCTAGCCCTGTGATCCTAGTCGAGCCACCGATTTTCAGCTGCTTGCAGTTTAGCGGAGTCACCGGACCTTCCTCCTCGATCTCCCAGACCTGCACCATACCTCTTTCGGTAGAGACAGCGACACGAGACCCATCGTCCTCCACACAAGCCGCTACGATGGGATCTTCGGAGTCCAGGGAAGCGACCGAGAGGAGCTCCCTTGTCCCGCTGCCAGGTTCTTTCGCGTTGAGTCTCCACAGACAGATGGTGTTGTCTATTCCAACCGAAAGGGCGATCGTCCCATCCGAGCCAGAGGCGATAATATCCACGTCCGACTCGTGAGAACAAGGCAGCATGTATGCCTTGATCTCTCGCGCCAACGAAGAGCCTGTCATAGCGTTTTCGATTGAAGAGTCGGTGTCGTTGGCTCCTCCTTTCTGGTCCACCCGTCCGAGTCGGTCTCTTTGGGCGTCAAGTAGGTCTGCATCTTTCAGTAGATACAGCAAGAGGGCATACAATGCTCCTGCGGTCACAGCTTGAGGGAGGACGACCACTTTGAAAAGGTAGAACAATGGTCGTAGTCGAGGGAGAAGCAGTCTACTTGCTGGTAGAGACAGTTTACGGATATCTGCCGGTCGCATGGAGTGCCCCGCTTTGGGGAGTACCAAGATGGATGCGGGAGGCACAAAGATACGAGCGTACGACCAGCCAAGGGGATTCAGCGAACGCCATAGTTGTTCGGCTGGTGTTAGCTTGGCGAGATCCTGAAGGGTGGTAGAGAATGGCGTGGGCTGGATAGCTTGGCCGATGACGGCAGAGCTGCCTTTAAGTGTGGGCGTGTAGCCGTAAAGGCTGGCGGTGGTGTTCAGTGGGATTCGATGACGCTCAGTGAGCCAGTAGAGCAGTCCTACTGTCATGAGTAGCTGCGCACGAAAGTGTAAAGCCTATCAGTATCTGATCGTCGAGCAAGACCGGTTCGAAGCTTACCAGAACAAGACTTCCACTCTTTGTTGTTCTCGCCCTGAGCAGTTTTCTCCAGCTGAATCCCCCTTCTCTGCCATCGCCGTGTTCGTCGGGTTTCGCGTCAGGTTGGACTGGTGAGATTGGCGCAACGCCGTTGGAAGCGAGCACGTCTGCCAGTTCGAGACGTTGAGCATCGATGGACAGAACCTGCAGCGCGGACTCAGTCGACTTTATCTACTTCACTCCTTAAGAGTTGCGGTCCACTCACCGTTAGGAAGAATGTATGAAGCATGAACCAATCCGTGATGATTACTACCGCCGCGAATAGGCAAAACTCGCGGACAGGCTGTAGGTTTACACACAGCCATACGACGCCCAGCACAGCAAGGTCAGATAGCGATGTCAAAGCGATGGTTGTGCCGACTTTGCTCAATCCCAGCCCGATTCGGACTGGTACAGAGTGGTTGAAGGGAATCGAGAAGATCGCTTTGGTCTGTATGTAGTCTTTAGCTAAGCGCTCTCCGTTGTTCGTTGTAGATAATCTTACTCACCAAAGTCGACATATTCTCCGCACCGACCACCACGATGACAAAGGGGAGGACATAAGTTGGCAAACTACTCTGACTTGAATGTGATAGCCAGCCATTCCAACCCAACAAGGCGAGAACGCTGAAGCTCATCACCGAGGAGCAACAGAGCTGAACAACACCGGTGAATGCTAGACCGAATCGAGAATGTACTTTTGATGCGTTTGACAATTGGGCAATCAGGGTGGTGAAGAGGACAACGTAGAGGAACAGTACAAGCTTTGGCGGAGAGGGGGATAGAGGTTCGGGGTGAGATGTATGTTCGTGGGCGTTGAGAGCTTGGTCGTTTGCAATGTTTTGACTTGAGGTATACTAATGGAAAGACACTTTCTATCAGCGCTAGCTAAAAACCGGATCAACGCTCAACGCACCGAGAGGTACCAATGACCAGTCTGATCTCCCAGGCTCCCACTCGCTCTCGCACCTTCAGCTTCTACAAACATTTCTCCGTCCACACGCTTGGCCACATGAGTCAAGGCTTCACGCCATCGGTCTTCGAAGTCGGAAGAAGTGTTCCATGTCACGCGAAAAAGCGCCGCCAAGCTATGATACACTTGGCCCGCGTTTGACGACCATTCGAAAGGGGATAGATCGTCTCCTGTCCCGTTATGTGATTGACGATGTGGCGAAAGGTCGTGTATCGGTATAACAGTGTCGTCCGTTATCCCAGGATTCCGCCTGGGCGTCAGAATATAGCATGGCCCTGATGATCCTACGTCGTTCCCATGGAAGCTACCCAGCCGCCGCACACATCTCTCCCCAGTTGTGTGGTATCGATCTTCCCACTCTTCAGCGACATCTCTCACCAATCTCAACAGCACATGATCTCGTTCTGCCCATATCCGCTCCTCGGCATCCCCGTCTCTGTCCAGTACATCTCCCACATCCGCCCAGCCGACTCTCATGACCTTTATCTCTTCGTCCTTTTCCCAGCCTCCCTGGCTACCCTCAGGCAAAGCTCTACTCAGTCCCCATCCTTCCGGTTCATACTGACCAGTATCTCTTCCCCACCAGCCTGCCCATGTCAGCCGGGGTAACAGAGGAGGAGGATATGGGAAGAAGCTGTCCAGAACTGGCGTGCTGAGCAGAGACAGCGGATGTTCTCGGTGTTGTGCACGCGATGGTCCCGCTTGACCGTCAGTGGCTATCCGATGAGCGTTATGACCCGGAGGGGATGGCGGGTGTAGCGGCGGAAACCTCTTCTGCAAGTACAAGGCAAGTGAAGGGTAGAAGAGATTCGTCATGACCAGGCAGTCGATGAGCAGTGTGCGGATCTGCGAGAATACAGTCAGTCTAGCCATGCTTAGCGAGAACGGGTGTCCCATGTAGCCTCACCTGATTCCTAGCGCAATGCTCGCCAAACCTCCTAAAGGCCTCTGTGACGATACCTTTTCTCCACCGTAACCTTCGGCCCTTTTTGGCTCCATCTCGTCTCTTCCGCCGCACAGGTCGGGCATAAGAGCTACTTCCCGCGGCTGGGGACTGTGTGATTGTATCTCTTTCGTAGCGATGCCTCACTCCTGCTGGATTACTTGTGCTCGAGGCCAAATGAGCTGTCGATGTTGAAGCGATAGGTGTGAGGGCTGGTGGAGGAGTATGCCGCGGTATTCGAGACATGGTGAATAAGGGAGACTATCCCTTGACAGCGAGTTGCGAGGGAAAGTCTTGGCTTTGCGTATCACCTCAGAGCATCGTCAACTGTTTTTCGTCAGGAGCTGGCGCTATCAATTGTTCCAGGACTGATGAAATGTATTATAGGTCAGTTGTGAAGAAGACAGACTGCGCAGAAGCGTGGGTACGACAAGCGAGATGACAGTCGACAACTGAGCTGTAAAGGTAGGTGATTTAGCAGCTCGGCCATGGGCCGATAACCGCAGACCCTTTTAGAGATTTGTCTATATATACGTATAAAATCTTCTGTGTCTCAACCGAGACGGTATCGTCTAGTGGTTAGGACGCTCGGTTTTGATTAATATAGGATCAAACCGTCCGATCGGCCTGGGTTCGACTCCCAGTACTGTCTTACGTTCTTTTTGCCTTTTTTCCCCCATACTTCTCTTTGTGCTCTGGTGAGTGCAATAACGAGCCGTGGGTGGTGCTTCATAGGATCTCGATCAGAGGTCATCGAAACCCTCGCAACACATTGTCTACTATCTGCTCAGGCTAGGTAGGATCGATGACTGTGCAATATATGTGTTCTCGGTCGGAAGGACATCCATCGTTCAGTGCGCAACTTATACCGCGACTCCCACAGCTCATGCGGAAGAATTCCATCAGCACAGTGACGTTACATGCGATATCTCTTTCCCACTATGTGCGCGCCTGTCTTGTAGCGACGTGACACAGTTCACTGATCACTAGGCGAAGTGACCCACCCCATGAAGCATATGCATATTATATCTCCCCCGTCCTTGCAATGTCCAAGAATCAGACTTCAGCAGAGAGATTAGGCGAACAGGCGGACGAGTCCGCCGAGTTCTGACTCCCTGTGATAACAATCTCGGATCTCGGTCCAAACCCCATGATTGCACTGCAACTCTCCCATCTTTACATGCCTTGATCCCAATCGCACAGCGGCTTTCAGGCTGTGACATGGGGAAGAAATCATAGCTAGGAATTGTGGCCTGTGTGGTCTCATCGGTCCAATCAGGGGATATGTGTCCAATAAGCAAGTAACTTGAGTCACGTTACCATCATAGTGCATCCGTCACGTCTTCGACAGCTTCGCGCACCGGCTTCCGACTGCTTCCCGACTTCCACTCTGACAGTGTGACCCGGCCCAAATGTCTTCCTTGTCAGGTAACGGTCTGCCCGGCCCGCCGGCCATCGATGTCTCTGCGTCCTCGCTTCGAATTACCACAAACCCCATCCCTTCATCATCTTCCGCCGCTGCTCAAGCGCTTCACGATCAGCTCAGCGCGAGTACGGGCAGCGGCAGGCGACCGAGACTCCAGTCGTCCGTCACCAGTCATCATAGGGTCGCATCATGGCCGAGCCCGCCGGCGGCGATGATAGCGTCGATGCCGTCTGCACCTGCGGTCCCAACAAGGGGCAGTATAGAAGGTGGAGGAGTGCTGGATCTGTCCTTAGTGGACAAGGATAGTGTCGCCCTGCTTTTGTACACCTATAAACCTGTAACGGCCAACCACAATATTTCGGTCCATCCTTCCCCTTTGCCCAGCACTTCGGCAACGCCCACCATCGCCTCCTCTCAGGTGCTCATCAACTATGCCGCGCTTCCGTGGGACGCGAAGCCAGGGGACTACCTCGAGATCCGACAGATCCATCGACGCTCGATACAATCAAAGAAAAAGGTCAACGAGCCAGAGGGTGAGACCAACAGGCGAGCAGAGAAGAAAAACACGGAGCAACCGGCAATGAGGGGTGTCAAGCCTGGACGAGGGAGAGATGGATACGTTTTCCGCTTGGGGGAGGATGTGCCGACTGCAAATGCACATCAGATACAGGTTCCTGACTCTGTGGCTACTGCCTTTGGCTTCCAATCCCGTCTCGAGGTTGAAGTGAGGAGGGTGAGTCAGCTTCCCTTCAGATGTATACGTTGGCGAATTGCTGATAAGAGCGTGTGTTCACAGGTCACCGACAAAGAGTCAGCACACACCGATTACGTCGAATTCTACTTTTCGCAATATCTCGGTCGAGCAGACATGTGGCGATTGGGAATGTCGTTGGAAGGGATGACGCTTCATGTGGGCGAGAAGGTCTCGCTAGCCGGAGGAGCGGTGAGAGCAGAAGTCAACTTCATCATCCGGGATGAAAAGGATCAGAAAACTGGAAAGGTGAAAGGGAAACGATTCTCGAGTGGGATAGTCACTGCGAAGACGAAGACGATTTTCAGGAGTAAGAGCGCCCAAGTCTACCTGTTTATTCAGCTCTGTCAGGAAACATGGGAATTTGACGAGGATGGCGAGAGGTATATCGAAAAGGTTGTACACGGTGAGTCAACTTCATATCGGGGTGAGCATCTTCGTGAAGACGGCTGCTGACGATCCTGGCCCCTTCAGGCTATCTTCCCGACTTGTTCTCTCGTTGGGCGGAGAAGGGTACATCGCATGTCGTCACGATCATCTACTTCGCTCGGATATACTACGATGACAACGATGTGGAATACCTCAAGAAACACGACATGTCCGGATCGTTGATTCAAGATTATTCTGGTAGATGGTGCAAAGACTTCTTCAAAGTTGCTATCGATCTCGAGAGAAGGAATAACTGGTCCGAGGCCTTGCCGGACATCAAGAAGCAGTTGGAACGAAGCGAAAAGGAGATTTTGCTGGATTACCATTTCCAGCTGCTCGGAGGCAAGAAGTACGACGGGGACGGGATCAAGATTGTCGGAAGATGGAGTTTCGCTTGCGAAGGAAACGCACTCGAGGCGATCAACCTCGCCCTGAACCCATTCGACGAGCATCACGTCGATCGCGATCTATCTCGCACAGGACTCTCGATGTCCATCATCACCCCTGGAACCGGTCATTTCGCCGTTGACAAGAACCTGCTTCGACTGACGACGGAACGGATGGTGGATCACGGCATGGCAGTCGATTTCGTCTGCTTGACCAAGATGCCGTTGCATAGCGTTCCGCTATTCAGTTATGTCTCACATCGGCCTAAAGGCTTCGGTGGTGCCGCAGCAGGGGAAGGGAATCATCCAGGAACAAAGAATGGAGGAGCTATTACGCCAGACTTGCTGTACTTCGACGAAAGCACGTCAAACAACAAGGACACCGAACTCGCGGACTGCTATTGTGAGTCCATTATGAATGAATTTCGCGATATCGTGATCGCGTAATAGCTAAACCTGATGTCTTCCTTTCTCGCAGCTCTTCCTTCTTGGGTCAGCTGCTCGTTCTATGCCGTCACGCATGACAAGCCTTTCCGACCAGATCGGTTTATTCCTCGTTGCAAGATGTACGAGATCCAAATGCTCGGTATACTCGACCACAACATGACTACGGTCATCGTGCCTTATCTCAATGTGGATGATGTGCCTATGCCCCGGCGGCCTCTATCGATAGAAGACCGTAAGACGATACGTGACGGATTCGATCAGTCAATCTTCGGCGGCGAGCAGACTCAGTCTATCATACCTTCGAAGGTCGGATCACCGCAGCCAGACTCGGCCCCAGCCAGTATAGCTGCAAGCTATCAATCAGCCAGGCTTCTCGCCGAAAAGATCAAAGCAGAGCGATCAAATTCCTTGTCTGCACCCAGACCCAAAGTAGGCGCTTTTGGAGCAGGATCAAAGCTTTCACCAATTAAAGCTATGATCGAGCTTGACGACAACGGGATAGGCAAGAAGAGGACTGAATTTCGCAGCTCCTCGCCCGCTCCTTCTTCTTTGAGCCTGAGAAGAGGTATCGGTGCAGACTCTCCAGCCCGACCTCCGCTGCCTTCCACGAACCTTCATCACGCTTCTCCACTTCTCACAGCTAGTCGAGGCGGCCAGTCTCCCAACGCCGCTACAACTCGTTCGGTGTCGCCACTACCACCAATCTCAGATGATTCCTCACCGGCTCGATCTCGCTCTTCACAGCCACCTACAAGAGGCACATCTCCGTCCAGAGCTTCAGTCATATCCCTCGATCAGGCTAATTCCGGCGCTTCAACGCCAAAACTCACGCCAGCCAAGAAACTGAACTCGAAGAGTAGCAGGGGTTCATTCGCTAGTCGGTTCGGTGCTAGCTGGCTGTTTGGTTCTTTGGCTACCCGCTCGCAACCGAGCTACGCTACTCCTGCCATCGAAACGATCGGTAGGACCGACGTTTCTTCGGTTACGGGGAACAGGCCCAGTTCTCCCGCATCATCCGCCGAGCCTGCACCACGTCCGCAAAAACGTCACAAGATGCCAAATCCAGATGCCGTCATCACACCTTCCACACCTTCGCCATCGAAAGACAAGCATGGTTCTACGCAAGGCACTCAACCTTTGCCTATCGCCAGTAACCCTACTTCTCGCCTGAGGCGGTCCACAGCAGTTGAGGAAGATCCAATATCTCGCTCCTTGCGCAATTCCAAAGGTCAGCCTCAAGCCGGTCAAGCTCTAAGTCGGTCGCATGAGGACTTGTCATGGCGGAATAGAAACAACGCTCTTGGCCAGTCTTCTCGGCACTTTACGATCAACCCTTGTAAACCATCTGACGACACCATTGGGCGCGTTCGCGATGCTGGTGGAAGGAGATGGAGATTCGTGTTACCAAAACAGACGCAACAGCATATCGTCCAGTGGCCAAGTCTGGTGGCGACCGCATGTCTTCCGCTCACGACGGATTTCCTGCCGAACCAAAAGCAGAGCGATGAGCTTTATAATACGGGAACATATACCGTGCAATGTTATCTTGAAGATGGGGCGTTTCTGATTCGTAGCGATGCCGCTGAGTCGAATTTGCCTCTCGCGATGATGCGAGAGATGGTGTCGCAAAGGCTATCTCGTGAGTCATCATATCGGGATGTGAGGGAGGAAAGCTCAAGCTGAAGTCGGACCGTTTGTCTGTGCAGAAAACTTTCAGGTTATCGTCCTGCCTCACGAGCTATCCGAGCCGGGTCTAGCCCGACCGATGCCCATTCATTTGGAGAAAGACGCCGACATAGGCGTCGAGCTGGTTTCAGGTGGCGCCTCAGAGGTCCTTAAGAATGGACGGGGAGCGATCTGGATGTCATGGACCAACCACATCCATCGGCTTCTCTTCCATCCGACCAAGCAGGAAATCATAGTGCACTGGATGACCCGAAAAGTGTCCCATTCCACCGATCCCGTCAACTACAAGTGTCTTGTGTGGCCCAGCGGTATGAGGGGCTATCAGCCTGCCTCGGCGACATTCAGCTACCCGGTGAGTAACGATCTCCGCATGATCAAGAGTGTCCATCTCATTGACCGAGCTTTCAACAGGATGTCAACACCAAGGTCAATTACAACCACCTGGATCACCTAATTAACGGCGAAAGACTCACCTTGGACCCTCTACGATATTGGCGTACCCGTTTCGTGCTCATCCCTTCCGGAAA